ATCAATAATATCTTCCACAGGCAAGGATGTTCTTTGCAACAAAGAGGCAGCCTTTCGTCTTTTTGTCGCAACGTTGATGGCAAGATCAACTGGGATTTTTGTAAAACAAGGAAGCGACAAATGATACCAACATATTTGATCTGCTTTAAGATTTTTACCTCTTACAAATTCTGCAAAATGACAGGAATTTTTCACAGTCTTTTCGGTATTTGCCCACCACAAGAGACAAAATTTTCGCCAAAAAACTTGAAACTCCATATGTAGGAGTATTCACAAAGGACACAATAGATCTCAATGGAATATCCGGTTTATGGATTTTCGGTAAACCATAGAAACGCGGAGATAGTCAATCACTGCTGTATAACTCTTTAGACGTAGCCTTGCTGAAAATATTGGATTTCCTAAGAATGCTATACTGACCTCAGCTCTTACTAACCGCTTGGCATCATCGTCCTGTGGAAAAATTCCTTCTTCAACGGAAGCAATGATTTCGGCTGTTGGAATTCGTGTTCAAGGCCCTTCCTTTCCAACTCACTTAGCTCTTTGGATGAGAGGTTTCTAAGCCTAATCCATTCTCTTCCTTAAGATTCGAAGCGCCTTTCCCTTCTAAAAAACCTTTCCCTTCCAAGAGCGTTTGCATACGATGGGCCTTTGCCTTTGTCTTCCCGAAGCCCTTTGTCTTCCAAGGGCCTAGCCTTCGAGGGGCCATTTCTTTGAAGCAAACAATGGCTCCACATATTGTGTAATGCTTCAAACTATTCCAACGTTTTGACCGCGGCAACATTCTACGTCCTAGATTCTCTGGTAATATGCAAAATCCTACGACCCAGTCGCACAATGTCCAAGACTCGAGTGATTGTGAGAAATGAGGATGTTTGCTTCTTATAATGTACGATTTTTGCCTTCGGACAACCTTTATTTCCGTAAGTTGTTGCCTTCGAACAGTCCTTGCCTTCGAAAGGCATTTGTCTTTGCTATGGAAGAGACCTTTGCTTTTGCCTGGGAAGGGCCTTTTCGCCTTTGCATCGAAGAACGTTTGCCATTGAAGGGCCTTTGCTATCGAAAAGCTCCTGCTTTTTCCTTGAAGCTAACGCTCCACACATATGACTTTCAAACTACTCCATCGGTTTAACCGCGATAACATTTTCCGTCCTAGACTCTCTGGTAAAGCAACATCTTCCGACACAGCCGTAGCAAGATTCGAGTGACTGTGAGAAATAAGGTTGTTTGCTTGTTACAATCGTACAATGCACTCTTTGCATTGTACGATTGTAACAACGTACCCTTGCGTTTGCCATCGAAGGGCCTTTGCTATCGAAGAGCTCCTGGCTTTGCCTTCGGAAGGCTTTTTCTATGAAGCTAACGCTCCACACATATAACGTTTCAAACTACTCCATCGCTTTAACCGCGGTAACATTTTCCGTCCTAGACTCTCTGGTAAAGCAACATCTTCCGAAACAGCCGTAGCAAGACGCGAGTTATTGTGAGAAATGAGGATGTTTGCTTGTTACAATCGTACAATGCACTCTTTGCATTGTACGATTGTAACAACGTACCCTTGCGTTTGCCATCGAAGGGCTTTTGCCTTCAAAGTGCCCTTTGCTTTTGCCATCGAAGGGCCATTGCCATCGCTTTGCCTTCGACAGGCCTTTGTCTTTGCTTTCCAGGAGACTTTGTTTTGCCCTTGAAGAACCTTTGCCATCTTCCATTGCCTTTGCCTTCAAAGTGCCTTCTTCCATTGGCTTCGAAGGGCCTTTTCTCTTGCCATCGAATGGCTTTTGCCTTAAAAATGCATTTGCTTTTGCCATCGAAGGGCCAATTTGCGATCGAAAGGCCTTTCCGATCGAAGGGCATTTGCTTTCAAAGCGCTATTTTGCCTTTGCCATCGAAGGGGCCTTCTTTTACAATCGTACAATGTACGCTTTTTGCCTTCGGACAACCTTTATTTTCGTAAGTTGTTGCCTTCGAAAGGCATTTGTCTTTGCTTTGGAGGAGACTTTTGCCTTCGCATCGAAGAACGTTTGCCATGGAAGGGCCTTTGCTATCGAAGAGCTCCTGGCTTTGCCTTCGGAAGGCTTTTTCTATGAAGCTAACGCTCCACATATATAACTTTCAAACTACTCCATCGCTTCAACCGCGGTAACATTTTCCGTCCTAGACTCTCTGGTAAAGCAACATCTTCCGACACAGCCGTAGCAAGACGCGAGTTATTGTGAGAAATGAGGATGTTTGCTTGTTACAATCGTACAATGCACTCTTTGCATTGTACGATTGTAACAACGTACCCTTGCGTTTGCCATCGAAGGGCTTTTGCCATCGAAGGGCCATTGCCATCGCTTTGCCTTCGACAGGCCTTTGTCTTTGCTTTCCAGGAGACTTTGTTTTGCCCTTGAAGAACCTTTGCCATCTTCCATGGCCTTTGCCTTCAAAGTGCCTTCTTCCATTGGCTTCGAAGGGTCTTTTCTCTTGCCATCGAATGGCTTTTGCCTTAAAAATGCATTTGCTTTTGCCATCGAAGGGCCAATTTGCGATCGAAAGGCCTTTCCGATCGAAGGGCATTTGCTTTCAAAGCGCTATTTTGCCTTCGCCATCGAAGGGGCCTTCTTTTACAATCGTACAATGTACGCTTTTTGCCTTCGGACAACCTTTATTTTCGTAAGTTGTTGCCTTCGAAAGGCATTTGTCTTTGCTTTGGAGGAGACTTTTGCCTTCGCATCGAAGAACGTTTGCCATGGAAGGGCCTTTGCTATCGAAGAGCTCCTGGCTTTGCCTTCGGAAGGCTTTTTCTATAAAGCTAACGCTCCACATATATAACTTTCAAACTACTCCATCGCTTTAACCGCGGTAACATTTTCCGTCCTAGACTCTCTGGTAAAGCAACATCTTCCGACACAGCCGTAGCAAGACGCGAGTTATTGTGAGAAATGAGGATGTTTGCTTGTTACAATCGTACAATGCACTCTTTGCATTGTACGATTGTAACAACGTACCCTTGCGTTTGCCATCGAAGGGCTTTTGCCTTCAAAGTGCCCTTTGCTTTTGCCATCGAAGGGCCATTGCCATCGCTTTGCCTTCGACAGGCCTTTGTCTTTGCTTTCCACGAGACTTTGCTTTGCCCTTGAAGAACCTTTGCCATCTAAGAACTCTTTGCCATCTTCCATTGCCTTTGCCTTCAAAGTGCCCTTGCCTTCAAAGTGCCCTCTTTCCTTTGGCTTCGAAGGGCCTTTTTTTCTCTTGCCATCGAAGGGCTTTTGCCTTCAAAATGCATTTGCTTTTGCCATCGAAGGGTCAATTTGCGATCGAAGGGCCCTTTTGCGATCGAAGGGCATTTGCTTTCAAAGCGCTCTCTTTCCCATTGCCTTCGAAGGGCCTTTGCCATCGAAGGGCCCTTGCCTTTGAAGAGCCTTTTCCTTCAAGCCAATGCTTCACATATATTCTATTTTCTCACAATCACTCAAGTCTTGGTATGACTGGGTAGGAGGATGTTGCATTACCAGAGAGTCTAGGACGGAGGATGTTGCCTCGGTTAAAGCAATGGAGTAGTTTGAAGCCGATTATATATGGAGTGTTAGCTTTAAAGAAAAGGCCATCAGATGTCAAAAGCCCTTTGATTCTAAGGCCCTTCGATGGCAAAGGCATTTTTGAAGGCAAAGGCCCTTCGATTGAAAAGGCAAAGGCCATTCTAACACAAAGGCTCTTCGAAGGCAAAGGCAATAGCCCTAGCTCCGAAAGCAAGGGCATTGATTGGCCCTTCGAAGCCAAAGGTAATGGCACTTTGACGGCCAAGGTCGTCGATGGTAATTTGCCCTGCAATGGCAAGGGCACGTTGAAGCCAAAGGCAAAAGGCCCTTCTAAGGCAAAGGCCCTTCGAAGATAAAGGCCTAGTTCACTTTGAAGGCAAAGGCATTCGATGGCAAAAGCATGCAAGGGCACTTTTGAAGGCAAATACCCTTCGATGGCAAAGCAAATTCGAAGGCCATTCGAAGGCATGCAAAGACCTTATGAAGAAAAAGGCAAACAAGCAAATAGCCTCATTTCTCACAATCACTCATCTACCTTCGGTTCTATAGTTTTCGTGTGTTTTACAAGGCCCAAAGGGACGAATTTCAGACTGGTCCCAAATTCGGCCGGTACCGTGCAAACGGGGTCTAAAAGACAAAGGCCCTCGAGTCCTAGGACACAGAATGTTGCCGCGGTTAAAGCGATGGAGTAGTTTGAAGCATTAAATATGTGGAGCGTTAGCTTATAGGAAAAGGCCTTGCAAAGGCACTTCCGCTCTTCGATGGCAAATGCAAAGGGCACGTTGTTACAGTCGTACAATGCAAAGAGTGCATTACACGACTGTAACAAGAAAACATCCTCATTTCTTACAATCACTCGAGTCTTGGTACGGCTGCATCGGAAGATGTTGCATTGCCAGAGAGTCTAGGCTAGGACGAGAATGTGACCGCGGTTAAAGCGAAGGAGTAGTTTGGAGCATTATATGTGGTGGAGCGTTGGCTTCAAGGAAAAGGCCTTTCGAAGGCAATAGGCATTCGAAGGCGCAAGGGTTAAAGGCTCTTCGAAGCATTGTAGAAAGACAACCACTTGTCAATTTTTGGGATAAGCTTTTTTGAAACTTTGTTTCTTGGCCAGTACATCACAAAAAATAATGCAAATTTTGGTGACTTTCTTCAGAGGAATTTCGCATTCTTTGTTACATAACTTAATATATACCGGAAGTTCCTCAAGTTCATTTTTCAGCCCATCGATGTGGACTATCTCTAACAGATCACCCAGTTTGTTTAAAAGTTCATCGGAACTGGAATACTTCTTACTTGCTGCAGGCAACTTTCAAAACTTTCAAGTCATCCTGGTCGAAGCTAGTTTTGATAGAGTCTAATGTTTCGCAAAACTGGCGTCGTAACTTATCTTTCTCATTTAACGTTAGCTGGTGCAATTGGAATTCTGGAATGCACTACGTAATCGCTCATGTATGTTGGTATGGTGCACTTGCCTCGTCACTTCGATACCTCGATCAGAGTTGATCGTTGTATGTCATCTTGTTGCAATCCTGTTTTCTTCTCTGCTTTCGCAAATAGATGCTCAAACTCTTCGGATGATCTGAGTTCTCCAAGGTGGATATACATCTTGTCAATATTTGTTCTGGCTTGTTCTGCCGTCAGGTCTACCCTTTGAAGCTGCTTAGAGTTATTCTCGAGAAGGAATGCAAGCTCGTTCATCGCAACCAGGTTAATCATATTGGGGAAGAGACGTGACATTTTGCAGATTTTTCTCCACATTCTGGAGTAACACTTGCATCTGTAGACAAGGTCTTCAAGGTTTCTTGGAGCTCATGGTTCTTTTTAAGGATGACATCTGCTGCAGCCCTTCTTGTAGTCCATCTAGTTCTTGAAAGATTTTTCAGCTCTAAGTTTCTACCTCCATGATCCTTATTCTCCTCCGACAATTCCATCTGGATATTTTGAAAAAGTAAAACCCTGGGCGTCAGCAACCATTCTTGAAAGTGAAGTTACATCTCTGAAGACCAGGTCGTTGCAATGTGCAAAGCAGTGAATGTAAAGCGTAAAGCGGCATGTTTGCAAACTCCATCTTTTAAAAGAACCGCTAACCGTTTCATTGCCGAAGCTCCATCAAATGCCATACCAGTTATTTTTTGAGTTATTTATTGCATCGGACCAATATACAGTATCTTCTTGAACATACTTTAAAAGGGCTTCGGATGATAATCCCTCGTCACATGGCATCACGCATAGAGATTATAAATAACACTAGAGGAGGCATTATGATCTTAATTCAGTCGAAAAGAAGGGAACGCGGCTATTGGGGGGGGGGAATTCAAGAACCGGATGTGTGTTTATGTTCCTATTGGTGACGAGTTTCAAATCAGCCAATGAAAGCACGATATTATATCTGGGACTTGTATCCCGCCCCCCATTAGCTGCATTGCCAATTTTTAGCCTCGATGCCTCCACTAGTGTTATTTATAATCTCTATGGCATCACACCGATGAAATCTTGCAAAACGTCGTAGTTTTCAGTGCAATGGCGAACAGAAAAAGATAACTGGTTCAGTTTTCGAAATGTCACTTGATACATCGCAAATGATCGCTAAAATTTACTGGCATTAATGTCATCTATATTAGGCTTCTTCTCGAGTTCAGCAACAAAGTTTCTTCTTGTTCAACTAAAATATCGTGAAACATGTACTGTACCTTCAAAAGGAGATTTAATCCTTCATGATCGATGGCTTTGTCTTTGTTGAATTGAATGATGTTCGAGTCTTCGTCGGTATGACCTCGAATTGCTACACCACGCCTGTCAAAAATGCATCCAAATGCGCCAATTAGAAGTGTCCACTATTTTTCTAATTACCGAGCGGAAAAAATGTAAGACTGGTAACTAATTCTAATTTTGAAAATCGCGCTTTTTCTCTTGCTTCTGGTACTTTGTAGGATGTGTAAGAATATATAGGTATATACGAGTGTGAAAGAGGAGATTCTGTGGATTATTTTGATCCCAATTATTGCCATGGTTACTTTATTATTATTCTAGTTTGCTTGGCTTCTTCCGGGCATTCGCGCAAGTTACGAAGTTTCAAAGGAAGTCGCTAAAATACACAAATTTCAGCTAGTTATATCTTTTTTGTTTATGCTCTGATTGTTTTCGTTATTGTGTGATTTGAAAGATAAAGTGTCCATTTACAATCGTATGTTTTTTGTTTTTTGATAATTGTGCAATGAAATTGTAAATATGCCGTCGAAATGAGCAACACAATACAAGCGCTTCATTGTCGGGAGCGTATGCGACAGCAAAGATTAAGCTCTATAGCCATAGATAACAAGACGAAGCAAGGTAGAGCAACGGCTAAGAAGTTAAAAAGATTGGATAAAAGGGTAAGATGAGCCGTTTAATTGTTTTGGTAGTTTATTTAGTACAAAATTTTAACAAATCGATGCCTCTAGGTATAGTCAAATCATAGTATTTATGCATATTTTTTCAACATGATCGATCGGCTCAGTTGCTAGGTTAATGTTTACTTAACCACTTGGACAGTGAGTCAAAGATCCCTTTGTTGAATGTATTTATTTATGTTTATTGTTTACTGCATGAATAATCTTTCAAAAGCATTTTTGATATTAATACCCAACATTTTCACCTTGACAAGTAAAGACAGTAAATTTGTCTGACAATTCAATATTTGATTGTTTCACCTAATGAACCATTCATTTTATATACACACACCCCTATGGATGAGGTTTTCTGAGGGGTCGCTTGAATTTTAACGAAATTTGTCAGGATAACCTGTAAATACACCCTTTCGATGATTATGTAACACATACTTTTTGCTCTTGGAGCCCCAGATCATGATTCATGAGTGCAAGGCACCCAGGCCAAATGACATTATTACTGAAAGGGTGTATTATTAAAATTTTGGATAAAATTCATCCGAAGG